ATTTCTCCCTTATGAAACAAGCTAAAAGTACGAAAATGTACTAAACTTCTTGTCAATTTAAAAAGGTTTTTATTTCTTGAAAGTTTTTTTCTACCTTTTTAATTCAGGTAAAAATACCAAAATGTACTAAACTTATTTATGGGGCATCAGTGAAAAAAATTTTATAGTTTGAAATTACTCGAATACACTTTCAACCCCCAATTTAAAAAAGCGTCGTGTTTATTTCTTAATAAATTAATTTCTTCTTCTTATGAAATGAAAGTGCTAAAATGTAATAAAGTAGCCGTGGGTGGACACAAACTAAAATAATGCGACTAAATTTTAGTAGTGGGTATTTTAAACTCTGATGTTTTAAGTCGAGTCTTAAATAAGAAAAGGAATTCAGAACTGTTACTGCAGCCTGACGCTCAGAATACTCTGTAGTAAAGTAGGTTGCCTATATGAATGATGAACAATTTATTAAAATTCAAATTTGGTGAAAATTAAATGAGTGCGCTGTAGCAGAGAAGAGAGACGTATATATATGTATGTATATATACGTCTCTCTTCTCTGGCTGTAGTCTACTAGATAAAGAAGGAAATATACAGTGCAAGTCAAAATTTGTAAGCAGCTACATTTTTGGATTTTAATAAAAATAATCTAAATTTATTTGGTTTGTAAGCAGTCTATGAAAATAATTACGATTTTACAAGACAACACTATTAACGTAAATGAATGTTTTTCACTTTGTTTTGTATATTTCTGTAATGTGGGCATTTTTTACTTGTGTCTTGTACACTACAATTTTTTGTAGGACTGATACAGAAAAGTACTTATAGTTAAAAATGCGGACAAAAAACTGTTAGCTTTAATATTGTGATGATAGTATAAAAATACATTAAAGCAATAATAGTTAGAAAGATAGATACTTCTTAATCAAAAATAGGAAATGATTAAGAAGAAAAGTATTGTACCGCTACTTTTTTAGTTAGCATAAAAAAGCAATGAATTTTTAATCTTCTGTCCAAAGATTGAGAAATTTGTAATAGTCTTTTTTTGAGAATATACAATTCTGTAATCTATTTTTGCATTTTTTTAAAAATCATTGCATTTTATCTTAATACTCCTACAACCATAGTCAATCATTTGTCTCGAGAAATAATACTTATCTTTTTATTTATATATGTTGATAATAGATTTTCTTGTCAGTCATGAATTCCTACATTATGAATAATTATCGGTTTAAATTTAAAACTAAATTTACAATTTTTTGAATTACTCAGTGTAATTTTGTAGAAATGCGTGAATATTTTCAAACCAATTTTTTTGTTACATAGATTGTAGGATTGATAATAATCTTCTGTATATATTAATTAATAATT